ATAAAGCATATTAATATGTATCAATTGAACTTCTTCTAGTTATTGTAGGTATTGTTGTCAAAAGTACTAAGATTTTGTATCAAGCATCACTAAATTGAAAATTGTGTAATTTTTTAATTATTATTTGTAATTTTTTTAGAACCATAATCATCCATTTAAGTGTATCAAAAATAAAAATTTACAAATGTATTATTTGGTTAGAATCATTACTATTTTAGAAATATTCTATAATTCTTAAAAATAATCACAATAAAAAGTACACAGGTTCATAGTAAATTTGTACCAGTGTTAGTCCTTAAAATACACCAAAACTTACCACTTGTTTTTGAAAATTTTGTTAAAGTGTCTAAAAAACATATGCATCTACCTAATAAAATAAAAGTTTTTAGATTAGTTGAATATCAATGCTACAAATACAATTTACATTCAGTTTAGTATCAAATGATTATTCTGAAGTATATTCAGCCTAGATTGAGACAAAGTTACCTAAAAAATGTATACATGGCATTCCTTAAGATTTAAGTCTATTGCAAAATAAGATAATAAAAGTAAAAAAAATCTTATGATCAAGATAATCTTGTACAAAACATCTATATACTTCTTCTACACTTATTCTTACTATTGTTCATACAAATTTATATTGTTTTCCCTTTATATTCTTAATTATTGCAAATCCTATGGTTTTTAATATGTGCATACATCATAGCTAAAATATGTTAGGTTTATTTTATAAAAAATTATTATTAAGCTTGAAACTAACTTTTATGTTTATTAAAAATAAAAATAATATAATCAAACTAATCTTTGTGAAAAAAAAGATATTACTATATTTGGCTCAAATACACAAAATTGCACTATTATTTTAGCAATCAATTAAAATAAATAAAAAAATTGAGGCACTTAAGATTATTTTTTCTAATAAAAAATTAATAAAGTAGCAAATAGTAGGTTAAAATTTCTAATTTATTACATTATTATATTTTTGTGCAGTATTAAATCTTTACACAAATCCTTATCATAGCTAATTGTACTGATAAATTTTTTTATTTGACAATGCTACTAAGATCATCAATAATATTTTAAAATTATTAAAAATAATCGTATTATATATATATACTTATACATGATGGATTTCATTTTAGATTAAAATTAAAAAAATAAAAAAAAATAAAAAAATCTATCTAAAAATATTTGTTAAAACAATTATTATACTTAATGATTGATGCATTGTTATTAAAGATAATTTTGATACTATTTAAATAAAATTTTATTTTTTTTAGGATCTAAAATATATAATTTTTTTGTGCATTGCTAATAATTTAGATGGAATACATAGTCTGTAATTTATACTTCATAATTTTATTAAATGTATACAAAAACAGAAATCAATTTATAAATCTTTTGTTAATCAAACTTAATCTTATAAAGCAAGTAGTATCAAAATCCACTATATGTTATAATATTGAGTTTAATTATTTTGATATATATAATTTTTTAAAAAAAATCAAATAAAAATTACTCATTGATAGACTATCTTTAGTACAATTAGTAAGTTTTAGTGTATAAAAAATAAAAAATATATTACACAGTTTTAATTTTAAAAATTAGAAGGATTTTAATTATATAAAAATTTAATAATATTATATTAAAATATAAATTTTTAAAAAAATAATTATTATATTATATTATATTATTATTAAACTTTAGATATGCAAATTTAAAAAACAACATGATAATATGTCAAGGACATGACCTTAAAGAAGATGCATAAATTTGGAAAATTTGTGTCAAAAGAAAAGTGGCAAAATAAAAATAAAATAACATGTATATTAGAAGGAAACTAGAATGGCTATTACCAAATGACAAAGAAACTAGAGACTCTTAAATTTAGACTAGAAGTAAGAAAAGACTTGACAAGAGTGAAGAGGGCTTCACTCTTACCTCTATATATACTATCTAACTAGAAGCTACGTGGCAATGTTCTATAAGACATCTAATATGTATTGACTTTGCAAGACACATGCCTTAGCTTATAATGCAAGTTTTCTACATGTGGGCTACATAGTTAGCTTGTTCTTCAAGCTTTTAACATGTGTGGCACATGGCCAACTTGTTGACCATGTTTCTTACCTAAAAAGTCAATTAAAGACACCTATAAAGTCAAAGCAGCATTTATAAAGCTTTTAAGAAGCTTCTGTAGAAGATATTATGGAATTGACCTACTTTTACCTATTATTATCTAAATCATATAAGTAATTATTGGTTTACATGTGTATGTTCGTGACACTATATATTCATAGCTCAAGCTCCAAGTAATTATATACACATTTCAAATTGCTATACATACAATTATTCTATTGATCAATCAACAAATAGAATTTTTTGGACAAAGCTTCAAAAAAAAAAAACAAAACAAAACAAAAACCCAAAAACCTTGTTCCTAGTCCCTCATGATTCTTAGTCCTACAAGACTTGGATTTCTTCTCTGATTTTTTAGCTACCCATTCAAGTTCTCTAATTTTATGGAACTTAACAATTTAATCATGATCATGCAAGTACATTGACAAGCAAAAAATAAAATAAAATAAAATAAAATATACATTTTTTTTATTAAGTCTTCAAAAGTTCAGTCATAGAAATTTAGTACATCTTGTTTCTCTCATTTGCATGGTCCATGATTTATAGCACACTCTAGCTGAGGATAAACAAAGGCAACTCAATACTAAAATTTAGAAAAAACATCATACTAATGATGAATAGTCTCAAGTTGAGGATATAGAAATGCATGTGAAAGTGGAGGATGTAAAGAAATCTAAAACTGAGGATACCGAAGACCATAAAACATAGGACATAGATCAACACTTAGTTAAAGATAGTGAAAATCATTCTATGATTAAGGAAAAAGAGAAGCATTTCAATATTAAAGATGTTGAGAATTATTTTGAGGTCAAGGAAGAAGATAAGCATTCTAATGTTGAAGATGGGGTGAAACTTGAGATAGAAGATGTTGGAAAGCATCATATTGATATTGAAGAAATAAGTTTCAATGGTAAAGATAGAAATAATACTGGAGAAAAAAAAAAAAAAAAAAAAAAAAAAAAAATGATCATATTATGGATGATGCTAAGCATAAATCTGAGGACAAAGATGAACTTTTCCATATTGAAGGTGTAGCTACAAAACACAGTATTGAAAAAGAGAAGAATTCCAAATCTAAGATTGACATAAAGTTTACAACCAAGTGCGATGAAATTGATGTAGTTGAGAATAGAGTTGATAATGATAATGAAGTTTTCAAGAAGTATAAAACCAACATTGAAGAAAAAATATCACTTTGATCTCATCATCTCATAAGTATGGAACTTGCTCTAAGTAAGTCTAATTTGTCATTTCTTCTTCAAAAGAGCCTTTGCTTTAGTAACCACATTGACACTATAAGTATCAATAGCATCATAATAGAGGACCTTGCAACTAATTTTTCAATACAAATTGATTTTACAAGCTTAGTTCTTCAATATTAGTTTAGTATAGTTTCAATACATATTACATATCTTTTGGTATTTGCATAAACTTGAATATGAGCTTGATGTATTTTATATACAATTCTATTGTTGACTCATCACCAATTGTTACATGATCTCTGAAAGAACAAAACAAATTAGATATTTAAAATGATCACGTCATCTAAGTCTTATTTTACAATTTTAACTACATGCTACATTTAGCATAGAGCTCAATTGCGTCTAGTTTGATTTATATTCCTAAACTCTACATCATGTGAGAAACACTAAAAGAAGTTTGGAATAGATATCATAATCAACTCTTCACTTTGAGATATTGTGGTGCTATTGTTTGTAATGAGGTGCATTACAATGTATTCGTAGGGAGCACTCTTTTCTAGTATTGAGTGTACTCTTGGTGAATTCCTCAACCAAAGCAGTTACTCAACCAAAGCAATGCATATTGTAAGACTAGGGAGTGGGGGAAGAGTTCAAAGACTTTTTGTAGGACTAAGAGTTGTAGTAGGAGTGGGAACAAAGTTCAATTTTGGCTAACCAATCAATGACATTGTTGAAGGGATTTCCATGCCACTTGATTCCAAAGTCATTGCAAATGTAACTCTTCACACAACATCAACTAGCCAATCAAAGATCTCTATTTGTTTTGGATATGTGTATAGCAATTTGGAGTGTGTGTAGCAACTTGAGATGTCCTTATAACTTGAGCCTATTCATTTGTTCACATGTATGCAAAGTTAAAATGTAAATTAATGAAAATATTCTTATATATATAGAGAGAGATTTATATATTCAAAGAATTTTTTTTTACTTACTTTAATCAGAGAAAAATTGCAAGATATGCTTATTATATCATTCCATCCTTTTGGCTGTTAAGATTGAATACTTAGAATTACTTTACCATTCTGTATGAACTTTGCGACACTATATTCTGTTAAATTGTAACATTTTCTCCATTTTATTTAGATGGTGAGGCATTAATTAGATATTTTGGTCATACATTTCTATATTTTACTTAAATGGAACAACAATTTGTACGTATATGCATAACAACGTAGTGATAATTAGACGGTTCTTGTTCCATCCATTTGTTTCTGCAAGGCACCTAGTATATCACTTATTATACTATCTAGTACTTCATAAAATGCTTTTTGTCTGAAGCAGAGGAAACCAAAACAGAGCAATGCAGCTTAATTTGGCATTGTCAACCTCAAGAACGTCAAAACGAGAGTACATTTTGATTAGAGTACCCGCTGGGTCTTGCATTTTAGTAGTGAAATTCTAAGTCAGCACTTGAAAAAACTGCAGAACTTTGGATGCTTTAAACAGACAAGATAACCATAAACGAAGGCAAGATGATTGTAATCATCTGCACAACAACGAACTTACACGACAAAATTAACATGAAATAAAACACGTGAAACAAACCTACACAAGTCAGCACTAGATCCAGGTCTCAGAACATTTAAAAGCTGCACAATGTGGAGGATGGTGTTGAAATGTACAAGTCTGAAGGATACGATCCACCAAAATAAGGAACAAAAATTGTCTCAATGCTGGTTAGGCAGTCCGTTTAGCAGCAAGGACGTTCAACAAGAAGCATGTTGGGAACAGGATTACAGTTCCAATGTTTCCAACCAAGTCATATACTAGCACATCAACAAAGAAGTTTACGTCTGTATATGAACATTTTACCTCAGCCTCCCGAGGGAAGATGATTGTTGTCCTCCGCTCAATCCATGGCATAGCAGAGGCCTCCCAATACCTATTAGGCAATACTAATGGCTCAGCCACCAAAAGTTATGGGCTGAAAAGATCACTAGACTACGTCAGAGAGAGAGAAGGGGATAATGCTCTCTCCGGAAGCTTGCTGTTTTCGTGTGCCCAGAACGAGCAGCTTGGCGCCTTCGTCATCGCAGCCTGACTAGCAGCAGTTGGAGTGCTCAGAGGACTAGAAAAAGTACTGGTAACACAACCCATGGGTGGAGAGTAGGGGACTCTCACTCGTGGTTTCGCTGCAAACGTCCCCACGGTTGAAGAAGACAGCTTGGAGAATTTGGCTCTTGGTGAATCTGAGTACAGCTGATCAGGCAACTCGCTCGCAGGTGGAGTGGTTGGCCGGCTGTGATCTTCCAGTGCCAAAGTGGAACCCTTGGAAAAAAATCCAGAGAACGATGACTCGTACAGGGCTTGAGCAGTTGGGCTTATGTCACCTGCAAAGCCACCAGTAAGAGAGCCTGAAAATAGAGGCTCAAAGTGAAGGTGATCGGGGACCAACAGGCGGTGAAAGCCACTGATAGAGTCGACCTCCTGCTTGTCACACCCTGTCCCTAGAAAAGAGGAATCATTTTGGGAGCTGCATTGACTAAGGTTGCCAAAATGGTTTCCCCAGATATCATACACTAGCTCTCCAGAGCTCTGCTCAGACAAGGAGCTGATTGAGTGCCAAGGACTGCCGGGACGTGGGTCTTGGTCTAAGCGGCCGTCGTGAAGGTCAGGGCTTGCGGTGAAGCTGGAACTTGACCAACCTGCACTCGTGGCATTACTCAAAGAGGAGAAAGGTTCTACAGTACTAACTTGTTTTGATATCCTCGCCCCAGGAGCTCGAAGAGTGGGGGGGATGGCGGGTGGGGGTACAACGTCTACGGAGTTGATACGCTCTCCGACGCCGAACTCGAAAGGGGAGTTGTTAGTCCACCCTCCCAGTCGAGAGTTCCGGCAAGGAAAGGAAGCCGAGGAAGTGAGAGCTGCAGGTCCATCTTCCGACACTGCAAACGCGTTACCTTCTCGGTGAGAGTACCGACTCCCTCGATATGAGTGGCCTCCATCGGTAGAGTCCACCCCTTTGTTATGTCCAGGGACTGGCGTCTTCCGTGGATGACGTGCTACATATTCACTATTGCTACTCTTTTTCCCACCTACACCTGAACTCCTCTCCACGGCGGGCTGCTTACGTGCATCTGCTACTTTCCCTTGCTGCCTGGGCTGTTGTTGCACTGGAGCAGAGCTTACATTAGGCCTGGGGCTCCCAGTTACTGAGCGAACTGGGGCAGAATTTGTGGTTTTCAAAGAGTTCAGAACTTTAACCTTAAGTTTGGGAAGATGGGTGGGGTCAGCCTGTTCGACAGAACCTGAATTCTTTGGGCTGAGAGGAACTATTAACTGATCAGAGGTGGACGAAGTTGATTTCGTCGGTGTACTATCGGAAGGAGAAGGAGGACTAACAGACCAAGCTGAACTGGATATCATCACGGGAGAGGCAGGAGATCCCGGCGACGCACCCCCACTCGTACCCAAATTCGCAGCCACATCATGCTTCCCCTGTTTCTTCTTTCGCCTACGTTTCTCCCGTTCATTTGGTAGTGAGGGTTGCTCAGGGGGGGGAACAGGCTGTGTCTTTAAGGTGACTTCCTCCTTGGGCGTCTCCTTGAGGGAAGGCTCGCCTGAAGGACCTGTATCTTGTGCGCACATAACCGCTTCAATAGATTTTCTCGGTTCATCTGACGCTATCACCTCTTTCACAACAGATTCCGCGTCCTCAGCCGGACACTCCATGCAAATGGTGTGTTTTGCATTGGAACTTTCCGGCTTCAAGTATTTCGAAGTCTTGGGCTGCTTGATGGACTGTGGGTGATGATGCGAATCTTTAGTGGTCATAGGCAAGGAGCTATTCGCTGTGTCAATATTACCTTTAGAATTCCGTGCTTGATCAGCCTTAGCAGCATTACTATGCTTCTTATCTGAGCCTCCTTTGCGTCCTGCTGCTTGCATTGTTCCTGGAGCAGACACCGCAGCTCCTCCAGTTGCCTTCGTCGCCTGCACTCCAGTCTGTGTGGATGTCTGCGCAGGCGACACGGATCGCGGGAGACTGTAATCCGCAGAAGACGCATTGCACTCCTTTCGCCATATGGCGGATCCAAAAGCTACCCACAGACCGTCCACCACAGTTGCCAGCGCTCCCCAGCCCCACATCTTAAGCAGTTTATCCCTTCTCTTCATGAAAGGACTGCCTCGACTAGAGCTTCTTCGATGAGATCCCACTATACTCAAATCCCCTGACGACGTAGGCAAAACGCTATCGCGCACAACCACTTGAAACAACAGTAGCACACCTACCATGAGTCCACAGAAAAGGAGCCCGAGAAACAGCCTGTAATCCATGATCAAGTCACTAATGCCCTGGCCTGCATGAAACCCTACCAGATCTCCTATTACTCGCCCCGTCGATTCAGGAAGAAAGGCCAAGGCAGGAGGATCCACGCACGGCAGCACCACCGCTCTATAAGAAATCTCCATCAAGTGACCAATGGTACTGTTGGTGCGAACCATGATCTTCTGAGAGCTACTACATGCGTTCAGCGCGTGAGGCTGGTTAAGGCCTCTGTATGTAATGTTAGCAACTTCGGTTTCGGAGCCTGGGAGCAGAACGCATCCTTTCTTGTACTCGATTGCAATTCTTGGATCTCCAGTTACTTCGTATATTTCTTCAACCTACACCAGATGAGAAAACAAAATTCATCACCAACACAGCATTTGAAAAAATATACGAATTACAAGCAGTGAAGTAAATAATTGGCTTCAACCGGGTATTCTTGCAAGAGCGTCAGGAATAAGACTTAGAATGTTCTGACCTGTACTAATTGATCGCCAGAATTTTGGAGCACCAAAGGCTGCGACCGCACCTGATCCCCAACCATCATACCGAAATCTACCATACCAGGAACTGAAAACACAGAAGACGGCTGCGGTACTCGTGAGCTGAACGGGTAGACTAGAATATCGCCCTTGCTCCCGAAATTCGCGCCAGTGACCCGAATCTGGAACGCTCCCGAAAACACTTCCTCTTGCTTCAGAACTATGTTGAATTCTAAAATATCTCTACTTGCCTGAGCAGGTAGTTCCCATGCCGCACCAGCTCTCATTAGTAGCCCATGTTTGTGATGACTATTGTCAAAGTCGAGGCTAAATTCCCTCGCTTCAATCACAATGGAATCTAAAGGTGATCCACTAACACGATCCACGTTTTTCTTTTCAACGGATGAACTTGAGGTGAGCCCCTCGTCCTCCTCCAGGGAAACAACAACCTCCTCCACGAACATGTTTTCATTGAAAGGGTTGAAGAGAGAAAGTACATAATGCGAGTTCTTATGCAACCTGACGTGCATCTGATACGGAGATGCAACGCCTTCCCCTTGTAACTGCACTACAATTGGGTCTGATCTGGTTTCTATGGTTAGTCTTCCTGTGGCTGCTCCCGTGTACTGAGGTAAGTAACACACAGGGAGCGTAAGCGATCCTCCAGGAGCAACGGATTTCTCAGAGAAATCGGAGATAAAGAACTGTCTATTATCACTCATAGCAGCAACAAGTGATAATTCCGAGCTATTGCAAAAATTGATAATAGTCAGGAAAGCAACCTGGCGCTGATACAAAGGCTGCTGAACCCAAACTAGTTGAGGAGGAGTGACGACAACATTCTCAAAACGCAGCATTGTACTTGGGTCTCTCGGAGAAACCTCGGAACAATCACGAAAATCGGCAAGCCTATCTCGGGCCTCGAGGGACCCAGGAGGGTAACACGCGACTTGTTGTCCGATTCGAACAAGGGCACCACATAATTGTAGCTCAACCTTGTCATCAGTTGGACGTTGCACGAATTGGCCCGACTGACCTGAACTAACAGAGGAGTGAAAACCGCTCTGCTGACTTATTTGCTCTTCAATATTATTATTTAATTTTTGTTCACTGGTACCGCCCTCCTGCCTCCCGAAAGAACCTCCATTATCGGAGCTCTGGGAGTCTGGGTCTACTCGACTCGAATCTGCAAAACCGAGCGATGACAGAAGTAAGTTTCTCTACGAGAAAAAATATTCGAAGTCACACAAAACAGAAAAATGTGCATGAACTTAATATTCTGAGTCGTGAATCCTAGAAGTACGCACAAGTTGTATTTTCTTGTCTACAAGGAATTAAGAACTCGGTGTTAGGCCCTTAAGGCTACAGGCGAGATAACATCCTTATTGCTCTGATCAATAAATAAAGGTAACTCGGTTCAAGTATGATGCTGCACAAAACATTACCTTTCCAAATGACTTCAGATACGACCCCTTCGGAGGGAGAGTCGATTTCAGGATCGTCACCAATGGATCGTAGCTGCTCCATGTTTAGCTGCACTTTGCTCTCAGCATTTGCCATAGGTGGAATGCAAAGTAACAGAAAGAGGAGCGCCCACGTGAGAAACATTGCCAGCTGAAACCCGCCAAACGCTTCACAGCAGCACCACCATGATCTGAGAAATCTCAAGTACGTTACAAAGGTATCAAGAAAAATAACCAAGGATGGGTTCTGCACCGTGGAAAAATGACACTGTATAACGAAACTCTATGAGAGATCAAAACTAGCAACAGATAATTACATGTTCAACGTACGAGGAAACAACTGATACTCCGAACAACATTATTCCGAGACTAAAACTGCGTTGCACCGAACAACTTCCGGCAGACAACAGAGTACAACCGGCACCAGTAACTGAGAACCTAACAAGCTGAATCCCGGTGACTGTAAAATTAGTTTGATGATCTCAAAATAATAGATTCAATCTACAGAACATTTTCACACCAGATGCACTAACTAGGGCCGACCTAGCTGAACCTAGATCAAGCGCAGTCGATTCCTAATAACTCATACAAGAATCTAATTTCCGTAGGCTATGGACCCTATAGTGCCAAGGTACGCGGCCACCTACCACCAGCCCTTGCACCCATTCGGCTTCTGGCCACCACAATTTGGGGAAAAAAAAAAAAAAAAAAAAAAAAAAACTAAAAACTAAAAACTAAAAACTAAAAAAAAAAAAAACTAAAACTAAAACTAAAACTAAATCAAGTCCTTGTTCTACACGCGTCACAGGCAGAGATGAAATGTCGAATGCAGGAAAAACTTGTAGAAATTGAATTCCACTGGTATACAATGCTCAGACACCTGCTACATGCGGGATTAAGATAATGCTGCTCCATTTTCGTATTAAATTAGCAAGATTGCCCTACACTAGTATTGGTTCTAAAATCAAAAAATGCTGTAAAGAAGAGGGAATAATTTACCGGCGTCCCTGCTTCGAGCTCACCCGGGAGCGATCGCCGCAAAGACTACTGTAATTTGCATCATTATCTTCCGCTAGACAAGCTCCATCGTGCAAGCCCCAGCACCAAGAGACCACGCTGATGAGGACCGAGAGCGATACGAAGAGCAATGAGAAAGGAAACGACCCCACAAAGAACAGGGGCGAGAGAGAAGTTAACGCGAGACATGACAGGAGCGTTGGAACTGCCTGCGTCAACAAAAATGAGACTAAAACTGCCATAGCCGCGCCACAACTTTGTTACAAGTATCTCCTACAGAAAACACCAGCCGCACCATCACCCGAACTGGAACTGCACCACCTCCTCCGTCGTCGTAGCTAATCTCCTCCAAACACTGCCTGCGCGGTTACTTTTCATCCTTCAGTTCTCCTGCTCCCCCAAAACACTTCTAACAAACCTCCATCACCTAAATGTATCCACATGAAGAAAACAGTATTAGACAGCAGTACCTATCCATGTTCATTTTAGGTCGTGTATTAGCCAACCTAGACATTACGTGCTGACAATCCCACTGCCTAAGATTCAACTCATAACAGCCAACCCCAATCATCAAACTGCAGCGCCGAAACTATGCCTCAACAGGCGCTAAATTATGGATGGACAGTTAGTGCTTCTGCACACAGAAATGCGTCTCCATATGCTGGTAAAGAAGACGTCCGCCAAGGCCGATATTCCGCCACATCAAAATATGACAAGTGAGCTGCTTAGAAATGCTCGGCAGAACACGAATACGAAACGACCAATATCAGGCTATTTGCACATCTTGTGTCCTTTTCCGATTCTGCAATATCTATGCAACAAGACATGTCTGGACAGAAGACCGCCATCATTCATGTGCACAATGATGTGCGATTCTCAAACAGAGCCCCTGCTAAATCATGAGAAAAGAGCTGTCACTCCAATTCAAAAGTAATAAGCGTTTACTGAAAACCACGCATGGGAGAGGGGAAAGTGTAGGACACGCTAGATGGCCGGTAAAACTGACATAAATATTCTCCTAGAATAAACATAATCGCTAGCTCTACTACTTCCCGCGGCATCTTAACATCATGTCCGCCAAAAGTCCCAGCGAGCTTCAAAGCACAGCTGCCATTTCAACGCAAACCTAGACTGCACTTTAGTTCCCATACAGCTGTACGATAATGCTCCCACAAGCGCAAGTGACAACGCTTCCCTTGCATTTCGAAGACCTGTGGAAGGTACACTACAGACGGAAGAACCGCTCGAATTTCAAGTTTAGAGCTCCGGTAGGGAGATGAACTTTTCTGATCGATAAGTGTATAGCTAGCCAATAGTATGCTCCAAGTTTGAAACAAGCGCCCGTACACCCAATTCAATTTTCACGTCCCTCGTGTGCAGCTTCCCAGAAAGGAAACTAAGTACATACCCTTGAATCGGGCGGCTTTCAGGCTCCGCTCGGCCAGCTTCCAACTGATAATCCTGCACAAGCCCACCTTTGCCTCTGTCAGCCAACCCATTGACGCTCAAAAAGCCATTGCCTTTATAAGCAACTAACACACTACCCAATCAAGAAAAACACAGGCACTCATCGACAATGGGGCAATAACTGAGGATTCCCACACTAAAGCTTCACCTCGAAAGCCATCCCCCCTCCCCAAGATAGCTGAGGAAAATCCACGGTCCAACAACGACACGAGACAAGACGAGCACAGTGGCTCAAAACCAGAGGACATAACAACAAATAAAATGGGGACATTATCAGCACTGCAGTGAGACGCTTCACTGCATGCACCAGAGCTGGAAGCCTCCAGAAAGCATCACACAGATCTCCACGTACTAAAATCCGCCATCCACGACCTCAGAGACTCGTCCATTTCATGAGAAAGGAAAAACTGCGAAAAACCTAAGCTACCGGGAGAGATTCCCCAGCAGAAAGAGCCCCTAAAAAACCTAGAGAACGACCTCACACCGGCCACTACACCCAGAAATCCCTGCTCCCACTACTCTTCACTCCAAATTACGACCCAATCCCCTCCCCTCTCCTCCAAATCCACACCACCACCGAATCCTGCACTTACCGCACACTCACTACCTCTCTCCCTCCCACTCTCCTCGCCAGCTCGTCGACGCACCTAAACCACGCACTTCCCCGCAGCAGGCCGGAGCTGCTGCCGAAGGGCCCCGCCAGGTGATCCGTCGTATCCCACCCCCCGTTATCACCCCCTGTCGCCCTACTCCTCTGTTCTCCACACCTGAGGAAGACTACTCCTCGAGTTGCTCCCCCCCTTCAACCCAAACTGAGAGCGCCAGTTTTGCTGCCGATGACAGAACTTACAACGACTCACCAAAAGGCAAAAAACTTAAACCACATCAGACACAAGCTAAGCACCCAGCCACCCACCCACCCCAACTGATGATGACAATGGAGAAGAAAAAGAAGAGGAAGAAGAAGCAGCAGGAGAAGGAGGACAGGAAGGGAGAGAGAGAGAGAGAGAGAGAGGTGAAATAGATGGGACAAGTCCCGAGAGGGTAAGGATGGGACAGAGAAGAAGCGATGGGGGCACAGACGAGGGAGAGAGAGGGCGAAACAGAGGGCTAAGCGGGCGGGGGGTGGGGGGAGGGTGGATGGTGGTGGAGCTGGGGGTGGGCGGGGTTGGGGGGAGTAGAATCAGGCAGCGTGGCCGAAACTTGCCACAAAACGACGCTAGTGCTGCTGAGCGGGGCTACGGCGGGCCCCACTTTTGGCGAGGAAGCAGCGCGCGCTTGTTGGTGTTGCTGAAGTTGCAGTTGGAGTCGGCCTCGGAGGCTGAGTCACGCCATGCGACCGCCAGCCCATGCTCCCCCCCCCCCATCCAAGCCCAAGCCAAGCTAGGCTCTCACACTCTCTCACTGGGTCACTCAATGTGTCGCGGTGATGGTGGCTGGGCCGGGCTGCCCGCTTCCTCGGGAAAAATTTACCCCTGATGATGCTGCCCCTGTCCGATATTGTTACTTTCTCACTTTCATGGGGGTCTTGTTACACTGTTCGGGGGTTCGACGTTCCTCCATGGGAGAACAGTCAGTAAACGGAAAAAGTAAACGTTTGAGGAGGAGGAAAAAAAAAGGGTGGGAATTACTTTTCGTATTGAGGTGTTAGGAATTATGTGTGAATGTATTCATGAAAATGTTATTTTAGATTTTATAGGTTATTGTGCATTTTATTTTGTTTTTTTTATCTACAGTAATGTAAAGAGATCAAATTGTGCACCCAACTAGGCAGCACAACAATCAAAAGAATACATTTTCCAATTGAGATTGTAATTTTGGAGATTTTATCAAAATTTATGATACACTATTTTTAAACCATGCAGTCAAACAAATCTACATAAACATTGAGTCTCCGAGTGAGTTTGCAAATCCAAATCTCTGAGGAATTTTTAGAAAGGGCCTATTGACATCCAAAATGCAGAGTAGAGTCACAATAATTCACTCTAATTAAATTTTGTGGAAACAAAGGTTAAAGTTTGACATAGTTTTTTTGTTTCTCTCTTTATTTTTTTCTTTTTTTTTTCTTTCTTTTCTTTTTTTTTTTCTTTTCCTTTTTCTTGTTAATCAATTGCACTAGATGGGTCATGGCCAATGTTAATATCCTTTTAATCTTTTGGAAAGCCAGTAAAGCATATTGAAATTAATTTGAATACTTTCTACTTCAAAAATCTTAAGTTCTTTCACAATGCAAACATATTCTCAATGGTTGCAACACATGTTTTTGTTTCAAAACTTAATTTTTTAATTTTTATATAATAATAATAATATCAAATACTATTTTTGTTATATTGATCATTGTTGTGTTTTCATGTAAGAATTTTTTAGTTACATGAATAATAATGATAAACATTAAAATTACTTGTCATTCAGTAAATTTGAAAACTGAAAAATGAAAAGTTTGGAGCTGTGAACAGAAATAGGACTTCAACAGAAGCTATTGGGGTGTGAAGGCACCAAAATCAAACGACCAAAAACAACAAGAAATAGTTAATCCATCTACCCCTCCACTATTGTAAAGCCAATCAATACTCTACCCCACATCAAATCAAACTGTTCCCATTCTAACAGATGAAAGAACAACAAAAACATAATAATACACATGATCTCATAATAAATGATTTTTTGAAGATTTGTGAGGCAATTAATAGTTGAGAACCCACTGGAGAATTAACCTAGACCATCCAACTCATAGATATATATATATATATATATATATATAAGAGATAGTGTTACATTCGAGTCATGGATATTCAAGACTCTCTTCTTCTTCTTTAATTATAAAAATAAAAAATGACTTAAAACCTAGTAACTGTGATACAATTCAAATTTGTATTTGAAAAAAGAAGTTCATTTTAGCTGTAATGTTTTTTGTAAATTTGACTCAGTTTCCCCATAAAAGGTATATCCAGCAAAATGTGTGCAATTTTTTAAAAATCGCCCAAGTTTATTAAAATAAGATAAAACAAAATAAAATAAAATGATAAAATAAAACTGCAAGTTCATTCTTTTTTGTAATGCAGTCTACTTTAAAATCATAATCTATGGTAGGAGATAGGAATAATACTCACAATAATAACAAGTGACTTCACAGATTGTAAAATAATATAGTAAAATAGTTATTATACATTTTAAAAAATAAATTTACCTTTAAAAATAGATTCTTCGTTGCATGATTATTGAGTAAGATGAAATTGGTTTTATGATCTTGTATGTTAGTAAGGTTTTGTTTAAGTTTTTGTTTTGAGTTTTGGTCATACAAAGCATAAAGGTTAATTAAGATTTAATTTTTTTAATTCATACCAATTAAGAATACTAAAAACTATATACTCTTATATAAAAAAATAATTATTGATTGAGAACATGAACATTCAACAAGATTTGTCATATTGATCAATGACACAGAGTATATTACAATTCAAATAGATAAAATTGAAATACAAAGCAAACAACAATATGCAATGGACAAGAATGAAAGATGGGCATCAACAAGGAATACACGTGGATACTCACCCATGATTGTGAATAAGAATATGCAGATAAACTCCATATGAGAAAAGAAAAAAGACTGTAATCATCCAAACAAATAAAACCTCCAGAACAGTTAACCATTTTGATACTAGAAATGATAATCAGTTACATTAAAATAACTGGTTATCATTTCTCATTTCAAGAAAAATAGATGTCTATTGTGTAATCTTCACAAGATTTAAGTATAAAAGTATTGTATTGAATACATGCTCTACACGTGTACTTATGTAACCAAACTTGTCCTGTGCTGCTTGTTGAATTTTAAAATGTTGGATTTACAACAGATTCATACACTACATGCTTTATAGTTTGGTTTTGCTATCAAAATTTTATACCTTGTGATTTTTTTTAAATGTATAAGAGTAAACAAAATATTTGATAATATTGTTATTACATTCACTACTGTAAAACTCTTTTTTGTCCTCCAGAATAAAACACACTTACACACACACACACACACATATATATATATATATATATATATATAATAGGTTATAATATTTTCTCTTGCTTATTTATAGTTAATGTTGAAATCAATTGTATTGGAGGTTTGTACTGCATTCTAGTAAAAACCACAAGAATCACTGATGATAAATCAAAATTAAACATTATTGATATTAAAGATCTAGAAAATCTCAATCCTGTATTTTAACTCCTGTATTGATGAGATTACTAGAATTCAAATTTCAAATTTGATGGCTTTGCCAGCATCAATTCCTACAGAACTGACTGATCTTCACTGCTTCATTAATTTCCTGAAATCCTTGTGTTCACAACTAGCTTGACACACACAAAATTCAGATAGGGTTTTTGCAGAGAATTTATATGAAACCCAAATAATCTTTGTTATTCGAATCCATAAAATTTACTGTTACATTTCTATTATGATTTGTGTATAAGTTTCTTATTTTCTTCTTTTCGAGTAGAAATTATGAAAAAATTGGATGAGTCAACAATTTTGGTGATAGTATTAAAAAAATTAAGATGTTAAAGTACATAACATCGTTCATCCACAACATGCCATTTGACTCACTCACCCCACGTAGTCAAATCAACCAAGAATAAGTCTATCATCAATCCTTGAGGTCTCACTCTTAAACATCCCATCCATTTCCTAGTTTCAGTGAGCATGGATTTGTACTTGAAAGCATAGATTGACAGTCACCCTCCTAAAGGATGAAATTGTTCAAATGGAGCACTTTCATTCGACATAGACCAAGTAAGTGCAACAATGGCTTGGCTTAGGTTGGCTATGTTTTGCGTACACTCCACTCCATGCTACTCTTTGTAGAATGGGTTTCAATGTCAATTTGTCATTGTACAAGTGCTTCATGGCACCACAACCTAGAAAACAATATGAATATGTAGTGATATAGAAGTGAAATATAGCAAACAAGGGAGGCCACTACCAACCACACCTTGTGTTGAAGTTTGCAAACTCTTCCTTCTCCAATGTCTTGCTTTTTGGGGCAATGAGATTTACGGTTACAGTACCATGAGAAGAGGCTGTACCTGTTTCAACTCTCATCTTCTTTAATGTTGAATAACTTTCCCCAGATTTTATGGAATGTGAAAGATGGAGTTTTATATTTGATTTTTGGAAGTGGCTTGGATTCAATAAGAGGAATTACTAACTACTGGGAATCATATGGACTTGTGATAGGGTAGGGTTTTTAAGTATTAGAAGTTTAAGTTGCTGAATTTCTTCAGATTTCCTCGATAAGTGGGGATTACAAGACAAGAGATTAAAATTTTAAGAATCATAATATGATTTTTTAAAAATTTATAATATTAAAATATTAGTCTCATTTATTTTACAATGTTTTTTTTGACTTTTATTCTTTTCTAAAATACAAACTTCAATAATTTATAATAATTTTCACTAAACAAAAAATATTTATAAAACTTTTGTGCTATGACTTTTCAAAGTGGACTTCTAAGTATAACAATCCCTTATATATACACTTTATTAAATTTTTATTATAAAATTTGAATGACCATCAATAATAAGAACATTAACACATTATTACAACATTTCATAGTTAATTGATTAAATGTGAAGTTTAAATCCCTTGAATGGTTGGAAGATCAGAGGCCCCTGGCTCTTTTTAATAATTTCACTACATGATTGTGAATAAGACTACCAAATAAAACCTTTGAATTTCATAAATAAGATAATTTATAAAATTCATGACACAAAGAAAGAAAAAAGAAAAAAGAATACCCACACACACAAGTATGTATGTGTATATCTATAAAAAAATTTAGAGTTTATTATTTACATTTGTGTATTTTATGAGTTGTGTTATTGTAATTATGAAAGAAAGAAAAATAAATAAAATAAAATAAAACATACTCACATATGTGTCTTTAAATCTATAAAAATTCTAGAGTTTATTCTTTATATTTATGTATTTTATGAGTTGTTTTATTATGATTATGAAAGATTATTACTTTTTTATTTAAAAAAACGAAAAATTAATGATTCTATTTTTGGATAAATCAAGATTAGTTTTTTTATATATTAAGAATACTCAATGCAGACAAGTAG